GTAAGAAAAGCTCCTACACTTCTTGATGAAGAAAAGAGCAATCATGTTGAAGCACAAAGCGCGGAGAATGTTTTTGCGTGGTTATTTTCCCGTGTAAGTCTAGTAAAAAAGTAAAAGCGAATCTTAATGATCGTACGCGACTGCACAAGTAATCTCGAAGATCTGAATGTTGACTTCGAAACGTAAAGAAATTGGTAAAATGCGAAGAAGGAAAAATAGAATTAGATATGAGAGACATGATGATTATGATCAGTATTATAAGTATAATTTAAAGCTCCTGAATATAAGTATAATAATTTAAAGCTTCTTCAGCACAGATTTTTAAATTGATGATATGTTATATCAGAAGAGAAAACACAATGAAAATTCTTGCACAATACATTAAAACAGAAATATTTTTTTAATAAAATAATATTTGCATTTGATAAAATACACTCGTAAAATATACTAAAATATGTACACTGAATTCTCTTTTTGTTTCAAAATAAAATCATATTTATCTTGATTCGACAACTGTTATATAGCTTGTTTCTTTTTTTAGTTAGACATAATTCAATTTCAAATATATTTGTTAACTACTAAAACACAAAGGGAGTTTTCGGTATACATTTTACAAATCTATTTTTTTATTCAATTGCAAATACTGTTTTATTTAAAAAATATGTTTTAATATGGTTTGCCAGAATTTTCTTTATGTATTTTTCGTTTCACACAATCCAAGATGGCTGTAGTGAGTAGAAACTTTAATAATGTAGAACCACAAAGAAAATTTTTGGAGAGCCAACTCGAAATAAATGTTTCTTATAGATTTTGAGTTACTGAATTCCAATTCGTTTTGCTCTATCGTCAGTTTTTCAGATAATCAAGAAAAATGATGGAAAGATCTATGAAAATTGAAACATTTGAGAAAAGAACAAAAATAAATTTAACATTAAAATATAGTCACAGAACTGATTTAAATATATTTTAGTAAGTTTAACAAGTATAAGAAACAAAAAATTTTGGTTTATTAATAATGTTAGATATTATAGCCTAACACATTAGAAAACAAATCGATATAAAATGTATTGTAATAAAACGTATTGTAATAAATAACGTATTGTAATAAATAACTAATCTGCGTGAGCTATGGAAAATTTTTTCAGCTTCAGAGAGAGAAATAGTTATATTAATTGTTACTTTTGGAAGATATGTTAGCCATAGAGTTGAGCACAAAGTACGTTAGTATGAATTTACGCGATGCGTATATAAACTATAATATCTATAAAGTGAAGCAAAATTTTGCTTCTTACATTTTATTAAAATATATTTAAAATATAATTAAAATATATTTATTATTTGCTAAAATATATTTAAATCAGTTCTATGACCGCATTTTAATGTTATATTTATTTTTGCTGCAATTTCCTTGCAAAATGTTTCAACTTTCACAGATTTTCCATCATTTTTCTTGATAAAAAAATAAACATGATGGAACAGAATGATTTATGAACTCAAATACAGTGACCCAAAATCTATAAAAAAAAAACTTATTCTGATTTAAGCTGTTCTCCAAAAAATTTTTTTGTGCTCCTGTGTAATTAATTTTTCAATAGAATAGGTTAAATAAATCTAGATATACATATTAGGG